AAAAAAAAAAAGAACATGTCAATATGTCTAACCAAGAGTGACCAAATCTAAATGTATAACAATTTACAAAATTAATTATATTGACATCAGTTTGTTGTACACTAGTTTATTGAGTTTAGACAGTGTTTCAGATTAATTGAAATATTGTATTATGGTTGTTTAATAAGTCAATTCACCAAAAATTAAGTATGTGGTCTTCATTATATTATTTTATTATACCATGATTTGTGTCAAGTAAAATATGTCTAGTAGGTGACAGGTGTTGATAAGAAATTAAAAACTTGATTTTTATTTTCTGGTAAAATATTAATTGATAATATTATATAGATACTAATTCATTAATTTAATTAAATTAATGCACWTTTTAATTTCCATGTTTTCCAAATTATTAACTTAATTAAGAAATTATTTTTATTTTTATGTGATGAATCATTGAGAGTTGAAAAGTTTTTGAAAACAAATTCATGGTAAGTTCTTAAGCAAGTAAGTTTTATTATCATAAAAGTTGTTTTTAAACCACAATAAATAAAATAATGTGTATTATACATTGCTTTTTCAGTGATATTTTATCAAAACTGTTTTTATTTACATGAAAATTATGATAACACGGCGTTCTATGTAGGCAATTTAGCTATACTGCCGTCGTGGGTTCGKTTTTCCAGTATCCCTTTACTAATAAATTAGAATAATTCATAGTGCGTTAGGATTTGGCATGCAATTCAATTTAAAATGAAAATTGGAAGYATWATTATATTTTTATTTTACATAAAATTAATTAAAAATATATGTATGCTAATTTCAATAAAATAATGAATTAAATTTTATAGGTAACTGAGAAGTAATTACCAATAAAAACACTTCAAATAATCCTACTTGTGTAATTGTTCAACGTTAGAGTTATTTTTATGTACAGTTACTTTTCAAGTAATTTTTGAATTTATAATTAAAACACCTAAATAACGCAACTGTCTATATCGTTTAATTATCAGAAAATCTGTACATGAAAATCATAAGATCTAAAACGAAATATATACAATAGAATCCGCTTAAAATGATCATTAAGGGATTTGGAGAATCTGATCGTTGTATCAGAATTGCAAAAACATACCTATACACATGAGATATATAAAACCAACCAAATACACGACATCGTAGGCCGCCATTATATTATTTGTMCTCAGTGGCTTAATTACCTACATATCTATATGAATAATATGTGAGTTGTTGTATCAATCAATTTATCGGACTTGAATAAAAATCTATGGTTTTTCAAGGGAAACATAATTTAAAGAGTATATTATTTTAAATTTTTAAACATAATATTCGGGATACTACGAAGATGGTCAAATGTATATACACTATAGTATTATGTGGTTTTCGGCGTTATCGCAATTTACTAATTGTCATGCGAAAACTGTAGGTACCTATGGATTTTAAATAATGATAATGAAAAACAGTATACCGATTACCGACACGCTTGACCAGACTTGGGTCGGTCGAATCGTCCAACTGATACTAATGTATAATATACACGACCCGGGCCATCTGGAACGTTTTCATTTTCAGATAGGCTGTTCCTTTTCCCCTACACGCGCGTWTACTCATCACATATTCACACATTTCAGATCGTGAAAATAAAAATTGTATTAAAAATTAAAACTCACCGTTGCCCTGCCTTGGCTGTTTGGCCACGATTATCGCGCCACTATATTACTTACTATCATTCAGCGACAGTACCCACCATCGGTTGTGGCGTGTTCAAAACATATTTATAATATATATATATTCTCCGTTTTACATCGTAAATTCCGCAGACGCTAWATATTATAGTAATATACCAGRGATGAACACAACGAGGCTTGCGAGCCGCATACAGCTCTCGAGTCAATCTCGTGCGGCTCTTGACACCAACCTTAGAGTAAAATTAATTAATATGATATAAAAACACTTTTCAATAAAATAAAACCTCATTCCTTAATGTGTACCAGAACAATTATTATGTTCTGTGTAGTGTAAAACATAAATGTCCATTTATTTGTTATAAAATGAAAAAATGTATCTTTATTTTATAAATATATCTTAACAATGTGGCTCGCTTTTAATAGGCTATATAAAAGTTGATGGCCACCCCTGTTTAGACTTCAAGGTGGGGGTTAACTCATTGCAGACTGTGAACGTTTGTAATACTGTAATAGTGTACACAGTGACCTATTTTTTTTTGTGGACGGTTGTTTTGTTATCATGGACTTTATCTCCACAAATATTAACATAGCTTCATCATAGACTCATAATTGATTATAATACATCTTAATAACCTGTAAGAGATGATCTTCTTGTAAAAAAATCTCAAGACTGTTATCTAAATTTTATTTATAGCCTTGATTAAAGAATATTCTATAATMAATGGTTATAGTAAAATTATAACAGGAATAAAGTATAAACTATTTGACTGAATAAATTAAAACTAATTTAACTTTTAAATTTACAATAATAATTTCCGAATAATAATAATAGGGCGATAGTCAATAATACAGTTGGCCAGACATCACAAAACGATAATAGAATTCTAAGAATTAGGTAGTAGTTCACCCCACCGTTTATTGGAAATTCAAATAATATTTCGCTAATTATTACTRCCACTATTATCTGACAAAAGATGAAAAATTATTATTAAAACATTATTGAATTTTAAAAGCAGTTTTAAAATATTTCGTCATTTGACTTTAGTAATGAACAGAATTAGAAAAAATATTGGGGGAGACTCCGGAGACTTAACCCCAGAATACCTCCCTCCTAACTCCTAAGTCCTAAATATGCCACTGAGTATATAAAAAACAGACAACAATGATATATATATATTATATWTATGAGTAAAATATAAAGTATAAAATAGTACAATAATTAAGTAACATCGAAAATCCAATCTTCATTCACATGCCACCGAGAACAATAAATAGTTAACTCGATCAACAAATATTTTGATCATTGACGATCACAATAACTGGTCATAAACAATTTAAAGAATTGGATCTATTGAATCGTCGTAATATTTCAACTTGACGATAAAATAGAATATTAGATAAAATACTTGATGGTTATTAATTGATTACATTTTAATACACATAATAGTCACAGAGGTCTGTACAATATTCATGACATTTTATATTAATTTAATATATATATTATACAGTACCTACTCCCTAAAGATTTTCGTTGCACGTATTACAGAGGTACCATTTTAATTATTATCGATAAGACACTGACTGCAGTCTGCAGCTTTAAAATATGCGCAAATGTATAATGTAAACGTAAAGGGTCGAAAACGCCATGTGTGAAAGGTGACCAGCACTGGTCAGTGCGACCGTATACAGTTTATATTACAATATTTTAATATTAAATGCACTCGTATTTCTTATGGACGCCACGTTCTATATACGCCCAACGGTATAATAAATTGTCTTTATAATAATATAACCGACGGCGACGTTGAATTACAGAAACCACAGCGCATTTATATTGTAATGAACGCTTTTTCTCAAATTTAAAGTGGAAAATTCGACGATAATAAATATAAAAAGATCACTTTATATGCTTACGCCTTTTCGATTTTCGTCGAACGAACGACCGCGAAAATGCGTATTGTTACACTATAACCACACTATATATTGGTACCTAAACTATAATAATAGARCGGAAAGACGAGGGGCACGGTCGTTCTTATCAATATTGTGTCGGTTTACACTCATTTAATCTAATCTGTGGTATATATAAGTATAAATTATAATATTATATACATCGGAGACGACCRCGACGACAATTGTTATACGCGCGCGATTTTCATCGCTCCACCTGTATAGTGTAAATATAAATGTATAAATATGTTGATACAGGGTGTTCCATTTAACATTGGCTATATATACATTTTTTTTTTAGCACCACTCAGTGAGCTTTAGAAAAACCGTATTTATACGGTTATTGAACCGTTTTGATGTACCTACTACTACTGTTCGTATAATCATAATATACCACTACGGTTTTCACAGATTTGTAATTCAAATGTTGTTGTTCTCCTAAGGTCAATMAACATGATGGGGTTGCCTAACACTAACTGAAAAACATAGCGGCTTAATACAATCTTAAATTTAACTAAAAAATTATTTTTTCATAGCTTTTGATCTATCTTAATAAAATGTTGTGGTTTAGCCTATGTCTGCGGGTGTTGGCGGCGCTTTTTCTATTTTGAGGAAATTCACTATCCACCACGATTTAAGACCTTAGACAGGGCCGGACTGGGTAGGGCCCGGCCCACTATCCCAAATATAATAGCGGCCCTACTCHCTGAGTCTCTGACTATAGGGGTAATTAGTTAAATATAATACAAATAATTAATTAATTTCAATAACTATATTATAATATCATGATAACAGTTTTAATAAAAGCGATGAAGAATTTTGTATGAYTTCCAAGACATCTTGAAAATCAGCCTCTGTTCTTGGTTCAATGACGAACATAATCTATTTTTTATTATCTTTAGTGCTAAATGTACGTTCACAGTTAACTTGACTGACTGATAAACTTAAGACAAATTCATATGCAGCATATGAATTTGAGTGAGCAGTAGAATGCATATTTAGTGAGTATAATAGTTTTTKAACGCAGATCAAACATTTAGAACGGTCATAATTTGATTTTGATGATTGTTTACATCCTTTAGTTAAAAAAAAATTATWTWAAAAMAWTTAAATTAGKATAAAATTTAATTTAGTAACCAATTTTACTAATTTGAAAGTTGCACTTACCATTTTTTTCCAAATTAATGTTAAATTCGTTCCATTCCAATGAAAAATTGAGATAGTATATCAGATAATATGAACGTATAATAATACCACGTTAATCTATTTTTAGCAAAACTATATGTTTATTTTTCCCATGAAATGATTTATCAATAGACKCTTGAGATTTGAAACGATACTGACTTATTATAACTTATAAATAATAATAACTATTATACACAATATACTAAACACTACGTCAAATTACGCGTAGGTATGTGGCTATGTAGCCTATGTCTCATATCATATTATGTCGCATTACTATATTTTAATATTTACTTATCTACCGATATAATTGTACTTACAACAGTAAGTTACAAGGCATCGGCCCAAAACCCATCCAAAGACAGCGGCCCACTGTCCTCTAGGACAGTAAACCACTGGGCCAGTCCGCCCCTGACCTTAGACCTATTTAATAGGGCCATGTTTAAGATAGACTGTACACTGTTGCGCCCAATGAACCATGATAAAGTGTCTACCCAATCACTATTAAAAACAGCTGGAAAATTCACCACTAGCGTTTGAATGTAGTAGTGGCCAAGGCTAAATAGACTACTTAGCCATGGTTGTGGCTATAGCCTATAAGCTCAAACATCGCGCTGTAGTAATTATGCTTCACACATCATGTCGTAAGCGCTAGTGGTCAATATTCCAACCGTTTTAGTTATTTAATTTGAAATTAAAATACAATTAATACATACTTGGTATATTATTTATTTAAATATAGGTAGACGTCATATAAATACGAAAAAAATGGCTGCTGGGATTTCATTCCAAGCAAACGGAGGAACGTCAAAACAYAGTTTTAAAATGAGCATATCTAGGCAACTCGCATCTAAGAGAGAACAAATAATAATATTATAAGATCTAGAGTAGGTCAATAGGCCACTTCAATATCACCTACTTCTACATAATTACTAGGAACTCATCAGTCCATCGTACGACACATGTAAAACTGCCCTTACAATAATCGAACACATGATTACTGACAACTGCCAAAAATTCACATTCTAACGTCATCTTCTCAACAATCTTATACCACTCGAAGAAGCCATCCAATCAAAACAACACCACCAATATTTTCAACTTTTTCAAACTAACTGGCTTCGATAAGAAATTTTAATAACACCTGGATATAACATAATATGTTTTCTTTTTCTCTTTTTTTCTAATATTGCTTAAGTACATTTAGTTTTTAAATAACACTAGGCTAATAATCTATGTAATTGAAGCCTTAGTTTAAACAACAAAAAATACGAAAATTGGYTATGAAATTAACCACGTAGCCATTTATCGGATCACTCCGTATAAGAGGTATTATAAATTATRATACATGATAATTTATCGGAAAGCGAAACGAAGAATGAAAGTCAACCACGAAATGCCGAAACGTGTGATTTGTCGTACACTACACGTCTACACATTATTGTGTTTATCGGTATTACACATAATCGGATATTATTCTGCGCAGTAAAAAATTATGTACGCTCAAGGTGTTGTAGTCTATGTATTTAATGGCTAACTACACGCATTCATAATTACATAGACTGAGTGATTCATCAAGCACTCGCTGCACCATTTTTTCCCTTAACTTTTAATTATGGTACTTTATTCAAATGCACATTTTTGGAATTATATTTTTTTAATTTTTATTCCATTGACTGGTTTACAATTAAATTAATTTTCTATAATTATTTTATTATTGGTTCTTAAATCGTCTATAATCTCTTGCATCTCTTATTGTTTGATTAATATTATTTGCTCTTGCCATTCATCTTCCACGTTTCCCTTCTGTCATATATGTCTTTTAGTATAGTGTTATGAGTCCTCATCTTATCAAAACTTATCAAAATGTGCCACCGTCTTTTTTTAGACTGTTTATCAATAAGTATATTTAAAAGTTCAAAAAATCGGATATTTTTGTAAATTCATGAGTGGTGAATCATCCTGTTAGTATATATGTGTATATGTATATGTATATGCATATTATGTATATATTAGATAATTAATTCCATAGCAGTAGGGCGATGGCTCCTTGTCTACAAAATGAACAAATAAATAATGGGCCTTATTAGCGTGTGTCATCAAGTTTGTACGTACCTACCTATATATACTTATTCGTATAATATAATAATGTCATGTATATCGGCGTGGAATTAAGTACAATCGAATAATGTGTGGAAAAAAACAAGACCAAACGGAAATGGGGAGAAATTGTCAGATAATTCGTCAAAGCACACTAAATGGGAAGTGTGCGCACGAGTAGATATACGGCTGTATTATATATATATATATATGTCGAGAAAATCGAAAAACGATTATATTATTGTTGTTTTTATTATAAAATCGTTT